ACCTAATTTTATTTGATTGTTAGTCCTAATAGGTAGTCTTTTTATAAATCGTGTGCTGCGTGAATGTCATATTAACTGGCGTGTATGATGCCTATATTATTATATAATTTATACAGTTCTCATTTTTTTCTTAAGGTTCTTATTATTTTACCTTAAGTTTTCAGATAGAAGGTACAACTAGTTATAACTAGTAACTAACTGGCTGTTGGCTTATTATTTCCTTTTTTTTGGGAAAGGTATGTGACACCTAAGATGCAGATTAATTCTATACTACTTCAGGTGGCACAATTATACCTGTATAATTAAATGTATTTTCACTGCTATGTACAATTTAAACTGTCTAACGTAACCTAAGATTGTAGTAAAAAGTTATATATTGTGAGTTTGTCTGTAAAAATATCGTCTTACATTGTACAAACTACTTGCACAACACGCAAGTGTGATTTTATAAGTCTGAGTTCATCATTTATAATAAAGACAATATGTTATAAGTCTGATTTACATTACAAGTATGTAGGTATATATAATACCATCGAGGTAATATATATATTATATACTAGTAATGTACGCAATTACCTCGACGATAAATACTGTTGATTGACTTGGCATATTGACGCGTGAGATCATTCTACAATAAAATTACGAGTACGAGTTTGTTTCTAATGGAAATTCCATGTTGGCCAGCGTTTTTATTTTACCATAATTTGTAATTTATGATAATCATAAAATTATTTTTATCCGTATTACTATTTTTAAATTGTCACTTAACAAATTTATTTACTTTTTGAGGATACATTTTTTTTTACACTGAAACAAATGGACATTGTTGTTATTAATTGCTACACTTATTTTATTTAAAGAAGCTGACGTTCCAACTGATGGTAAGTGGTAACCATTGCCTATATGACCATCACGTTATCATGTGCCACCCGTACACCTCATTAGTTACCATTCCGGAGGAATAATGTTTCATGAATAATACAAATATTTATACCATGCGAGAACTCCATACCGCGACCATTGAAAGTAAGACGATGTTTAAACAGCTAGACCATCGAGTCAATTATAATATCAGGTATAGAAAACAAGGCATACATATCTAATAAAAAACAATTAGATACGATCCTTTCAATATTTGAATTGTCGATGGTAGATTTTAATTGTAGTGTAACATTATTTATTAATTATAATTTATTTTGTATAAAACATACATATATTTAAAATATATATTTATTCAATTAATGTAATCTGTAATCTTAAATGTTAGTTTCTAAAGATGTACGTCAATTTGACATACATTTTTAGAAGTCAATGTCATTCAAATATTCAGATCAAAGTTATTTTTTAAAATAAAACTTTATGATCAAAACGGGAAAATAACAAGATTGTCATTGTCGGTTGAGATATAAACAAGTTGAGAAGATAAACTGCAAAACTTTCAATATATTTCATTATTTCAAATAATTATTGGTTGTAATATGTGTTAAACTGGAATTATATATCTATTATTAAACAGCTGTTAAAGTAGTAAAAGGTGCAATATTCTACACTTGACCCATTTTTAGTACCTGATGCTAAGAGTATAACGATTGTTGTGAAATGATAGCGAGCGATTGAATAATAAATAAACATCCGCGTATATTATACGTGGATAGTATTTTCAATTAAATATTCAACGGTAGGTATGTCTACTGATAAGTGCATTACACATACTGATTACGTACCTACTATATGTTTATATACTTCGTCTGGGTGTATATTATTGTTATTGGCCTGCGTGCATCGTATCAATTTTATTAAGATGATTTCAATGGAAAAAACCGAGCTATAATCTGTTTTTTATACTTGGCATTTATGTAAAGAATTTAGTATGGTTTTTATCGATGTTACTGATTTAGAAATTAAAGATAATAAATTGTTATTGGAGGACTTGTGAGTATTCTGTATGTCTGTGAGCGCTAATCTCGGAAATGGCTTTACTGATTTGGGTGCGGTTTTAAATAATGTGTTTCCTAAACTTTGCTTACAGCGTAGCGTACAAACAAAAAATATATAAAAAATTTTTTTGTCACAGTTCGAAGTCCCCGGTGCAGGTAATTTGTATACATTTTAAATATTGTTTTGTCTATTAGAACAATGTTTTGGCATCTTTTAATCCTAACGAAGAACTGTGTGTATGACCGTGTATCTCTTAAAAATACCTACTAGGCTTATTAACAGACAGATGGTGTAATAGCAAAATACTTCAAGGACATTGAATAGCCACAGAACATATCAAGTTAGGTAGTGAACGGCAGTTGTATATGTCGGTGACCTTTGCCTACTCATACATACAACAAAGATGTCACCACATTAGGGTTAGCACAAATACTCCAATAGACAATTGCTATTGAATAAAAATCTATACATAATGACTAGGGCCCTCACTGGATACTGCAAATTAAATAAACATATGGGAAACCTATGCCTGTGCACAACAAAAATCTGCAGATTTTGATAAGTTGAAGAGGTAACGCCACTACACATCCTATGTGGTTGGAAAGCTTAAACTCTAACATGAGGAGATAAAAACAATCGCTCCTGCTTAGTTTTTATCTCCTTAAGAATATCCTTCAATTCTTGTCCCTAACAGATCTAGGTGATCACCTTAGAATGGACGAATTGTATGAAATTTGTACTTGGGTAAGTGTCAGTTTTCTCTCTCTTTTCTTGGGAAGATATTTTTTCAAGTAGCGAATGTAGAGCACCTTTTTTGTGTTCGGTTGTTGGACTGTGTGTCAACCCTATGAATTCATTGGTGTTTTTTTATTTCATATCAGTATTTTTTATTTAATATGAATACAGCTTTCTGTGCACATGTTGAATAAAAAATCTAATAGGTATGATTCAAGTACTCTTACATCATTGTCATATACATATATTAGAATTACCTAATGGAATGGAGAATGTTGACAGGAAATTCTATGATTTACCCATCAAATATTTTTCCATTATTAAAAACTGGGTATGAGACATAGCATCTTAGTCCTTTGGAATTGCAATGAATTAGGAGCACCAGGAGGGTTAATTACAAAAAAATATATACTCAAAATGTTAAAGATACCTGCAGACTTGCACATTGCCATGGGAGCATGCTATACTGTTCTGATAAGCCGTACTTTGCGACTCTGAGTTCTAGGGTGTTATATTTTCTATGACAATTATTATTTGCTTACTTGTGTACTTCAATACAGAATACATACACCAATATTTTGTTAGAATTAGAAAGAAATATAAACAAAGAATGAGATTAATTATCTTTAATAGTTCATTGTTATGAACAGGAAAAGGTTATTAATTGAGTCGTCTGATACATACTAAATATATATTATTCTATTTATTTATTATCCTTAATTGATATCACCATCATAGTAGGCAACCAAATCCAAATCTGGACACGATACGTGATATATTTTTCATACTTTGTATGAGACAAACTTTTAGCTTGCGGGTGCCAAGTTCATCCTGTAGCAGAGAGGGAAACTCCCGGATCCTGAAACCCGAGTGTAGGTTTAAGGTGCCCCTTTGCCAACATACGTCAACACTCACCTTCACCGCTTTTGATTTCATATCCAGCTAAATCAGCCAGTGATAGTGTAGTTGTAGATATACATTCGAGTATTGAACTTACTGCAGTTCTAGACAGTCCAAAATCTTTTAGAAGGTTGTAGAGAGATTTTACTATCGCTCCCACTTCGACCGCATGTAATTTAACCATATAGCCATTTTCCTTAATTTGTATATTAGTTCGTAATATTTATATTTTTACAACATTATTACATGATAGCGTAAAAATAAATTTCAATACAAACTTAAATCTACTATTATCTACTTTTAAATTACCAGACAGGGCACGTAGGTAACTGAAATGCCTCCTGATCCTTCCATTACCCGCCGAATATGGGAACACGTAATAACTGGCAATAATTCACGTTTTATCACGGAAACATAATATTCGTATATCCGTAAAATGATCGCGTAAAGCCGTCATTTACTACGTACAATATTTAGGTTATTGTTGGCCTGGTTACAACAACTAGTGGGCATTGTTGACACGCGATTCTAATAATGCGTCGCGTTACACTTTATTTGTTTACATTAAGAACATAAATCTTAGACGGATGAGTCATGAATTATAAAGTGGGAGGTGCGAGATTTTTAATGTAGAGAGATAATTAGAAATGCTTTTTTATTATTGTATTATTAAATTTAGAAAATTTTAATTAATAAAAAATGCTGTAAACATTACTAGAAGGTACAAAAGCATGGGGTATCGCCGTTTCACTAATTTCTCCAATGATTCTAACACCACGGTTGTCTAGCGTTTAAGCACATTGCCTTACGTCCACGTCCGATGGTCGATCCCTTCACAATTGCATTCATGAGTCATCACATACAATTTGGAACTATTTAGATAGTGCTGTGTATATTGAACAGGTTTATTTATTTATTTGCATTGCAGCAATGTTATACTTACTTTTTTTTTAAATTAATTCGTCACATCCAGAGAAGAGATCTATTCTCTTGCTGACTAAGATGAATTTGATGTTATGGATTCAGATCGGGAAATATATATTTTTAAGTATGTCCTTAAGGAAAGTAGGGCATCGGAAAACAGAGATTTTAATTTTCTTATTAATACCAATTTCCGAATGCATCATTGGAATGCATATAACAATTAATATATTATTATTTAAATTAGAATTAATTTAAATAATAATAATATTTTCATTATACACATTAACTTGTAGTTTTTTATTCTACTTGCTACATTTGGAATTTATATTTAGGATGAAAATGGCAGTTGCTGCTACTTTCAAACAAATGTCATAAAATTTTACATGTGAAAAATTATTTACTTAAATAAATAGTTACATTAAAATAGTTTAACTCAAATATTCTAATCTCATTAAACGAATAATTAATATCTGCCTATTATTAAATCAATCATTCTTTTACAGGTACGTGGTGGCTGTGACGACTCTAATACTGCTCCCCTACTCCTTAAGAATTCAGGAATGTTCACGTAAATACATAAATATTATCATTTATTAACTTACAACTTGCACTTGCAAAAAAAAAACGTAAATTTTTATTATATTATGGCGACAGAAAATGTCTCTCATAATAATAATTCAATTTAAAAACTTCATCAACCTCGTTATTACACATTGCCAAGATCCCGTAGTCTTGGCAAATTAGCGTCATGGGTTTATGACTTCTTTTATATTTATTATTAAAAATTTTATGTTAATACCTGTTCGATGGCGTCATTGCGATATATATTGAAATTCTTATTTTAAAAATACACAAAAAATTGATAAAAGCTCAACACAAATGTCTATGGTTTTGCGAATATAATCATTGAACTTATAAATAATTCAACAGTGGCTCGTGAGTCAGTGAGGTCACAGTGACTCACGGCGCATCACTAGTCGGCTGTTATTTGGATTATCATCGGCACTCCCCATTATTTAATCATCTATAAGTGTGAATTGTGCAAAAGAACATAAAAGATTTTATTGTGGTCACTCCCCTGTGTTTATGACACTAACAGTATATTTTTGGGGAATTAGTCCTAATTTGATAGGTAAACATTAGTAATATCCAAACCTTAGCGTATTATAAATATCACAATTAATTAATATTGTTGTTAATAAAATCTTCCTTTTTTTATTATAATTAATGAGTAATCTTGGCTTTTTCGTAACTAAAAGGGAGAGCGCAACCGAAATAAAATGGATGGTGAGAAAGATGATATGCATAAAAGGAGAGTAAGCTCAGATAAGCCATTAAATAATGGGATAAAGTCAAGGCAATAATGACCAATGCCAACAAGAAGTCTATTTGACGAAAGTTGTAGTTGTAACCATCGCCAATAGGTTGTTACTTATAAAATTACAATACCATGGAGAACACAGAGATTTACAGAATACATTATGCTTCCCGTTCATTCTTCATGTGTTGCATTACAAAAACTGGCATTCAAGTGTTGGAAACAATTTTATATCAGAGTTATTTTGTTTAAAGTCAATATAACCATAATCTTTTGTCCAGTTAATGTTTATCTTTAATCAAGTACAAAGCCTATAGTAATGACACGCCAATGCTAGTCTTACGAGCAATTAAAATGTGTTTTACGAAGGGCGACAAAGTTATGTGAGCTTACTTTATAATTGCTTTTATGCTAATGTCTCTTGTACGTGTAGTCATAAAATTAACATCAGCGAAATCTTTACTAAAAAAAGTTCGAGGAAACTATTTAAAATTGTGGATATTGTTAGTTTCAGTATTATTTTTACCTCTAGTATTGTCATATGGCTGTGTTTCGGATGTAGGGTGCATATTAGGTAGTGATATTACATGATAATAATCGTCATATCCTAATGCTTTGGAGTCCGTGATATCCGTAGTGTTGTTAATGTATATATGCTTTTTTGTATTGTTACCGCTTGTCATTAGGCGGGCCATCAGCTTTACTGTAGAACTATTTTTCTATGACTTCTTACTTTGATCTATATATCTTCTTTCTATAATGTTGTAGTCATAACAAGTTATTACTCTCGATTGAGTCTGCTTTTTTGAGATAAGAGATAACCTAAATCTGTTCTTGTTATACAATCCATCCTCACGCCGAATTTCATGAAAATCCGTTCAAGCAGGTTAGTCATACTTACTATTATTAGCAATATATTTGTTTTTAATTTGCGCTGTCCTTAAAATGCCACTTCCTTGGGTAATCCAAAGTCAAATTAAAGAGGGTTAATTAAGTGGAAATAAATTATAAGATTACGCTCATTATATTTTTTTGCTGTAATGGTAGGTAGGGTTCAACCCACTCAGTGCAATGTCCTTAATGATTGGCCCTCGGACTGTGTTAATCATTGCCCAGGATGACTTAATCATCCGACCGCAATCTTAATTAACCTTTTAACTTCTATTGTATATTTAATTCGGGGTTTATTTATTTATTCCCTCGCGGTTTTGTACGCGGGTTATCATTAGTTCTTGATTTATATTCGAATAATAATGTTTAATCGCTTGTGTAAAATTTAGATTAATGAGAAGATTGGACTGTAATATAGTCAAGCCTATGGATAGATGTCTCCACCTTCTATGTGACTTCATAGTTTATAGTTAATTATACCTATTTAATTTTTCAAAATTGTAATATCCATATATTTATTTTTGAAAAGTATATGAATTGTGTTACGTTTTAAATAATTCGATGACAAAGGATTATGCTTATCACTTTATATCTTTAATTATTTTTTTAATGTCTGTAAAGTTGTTGGATATTTACTGCTATAAACTGCAGTAAATAGCCAACAACTTTACAGACATTAAAAAAAATAATTATTACATTTGGATGGATTGGATATAATTTTGTACATATCCCGATTGAACTATAAAATGCCAATTCATGCAGGCAGAGCCATTATATACAGTTGTATAGGTACAAGTATATTGTTTGTTATTTCTATATATTTCTTATTAATTTAAGATTTTTCTTTGTAATTCAGATCCAGTAGATCTGCGATTATGTATTTAGGCGAGATTTTTTATGAATGACGAAGGACATTTTAGCACTTGTATGTCGACGAGGACAATAAACCCATCACATCTTACATATCATAATAACAAGATAAACACGTTAGTCATACAATAGACGATCAAGTGATAACTTAATACGTTTATAGAATACTAATGACACACCCTGAGTTCGTTCGGGTGCTTACATAGTTGGGAGTATATATTTACACAATAAATAGCCTACGAAAATTAGGAATACATGTTCCTTTTAAACAAATTTAAACGTGAAAAAATGCGTCCCTTGACCCACGATCCCGCTTCCAAAAAAGACAAGTGTAGAAAAATAAAACAGATCTACTAAGTATCTTCTTTGCTTTCATACATCGATTAGTATACTTTTTGTAAATAAATAATGTTTCAAAATTAATATAAGCTTACCTATAAATTACTATTAACTTGAAAGGGTGTCTGTCATCTGACAACTTTTAGTCGAATCTTAATGTTGCAATGGAGACAGATTGTAATATGAGGACGAACATGGGGTATTTTTTATCTCAAAAAATCAGATTCAGTTATCAGAAACATGTGGGAATATTAATAGAAAAAGTACACCCAAGGAACGCATCACAACTCCAAGCAGACAAAATTACCAATTATTAAAAGTCATCATCTTTGCCTTGCCTTCATCTTATTATTTGTGATCGGCATAGTATGTCATATTCTGAAAAAAGCTTTCCTAAATTAGCCTGTCTGAATCCGAGAGAGTGGAAAGAGATTACATCAACTACTAACGGCGTATTCTATAAAAATAAACAATATCGATACGGTACGACTTCGTTAGCCGAGGCGTTAATTATCACTCGTCATTATCTGCGAGCGATTTATTTTCTACAACACACTTGGCGGCTTATCCTTTGAATTAAATTAAAACAACCCTCGTCAGTTCGCCGCCGCGCCGCATATTTCATACAACTCCAGTCTAATCTGACACCTCCCACTGTCCGAGTATGGTGAGCCACGCTTGCAAAGGAATTTTATGTAAATTGGACGCTGTTTTTATTTTTTATTTTATTTATTTGGCATTCCTTTTCGACCACCGTGTGAACTAGCCACTAATAAAATCGAGATTTTGTAGTCAGGGCATAATCAATAATAACGTTTTCGTCTGTGATTGTTTAATATGATTATATGTTGTCAGTTAGTTAATTAGTTAAAACCATAATTGTATCGTAATGAGAAAATGAAGTATGTTTTCAATGGTAATAATAAGTACATTATGAAATTGCCGATCGTGTTGCAATAATATAGGTTATTTATTTAACAATAAGCTGAAGTTTTTATACATAGAGTTATCAAACTGCTTAATAATTTGTTGGCGAAAACAGATACTCATTTACTTAAATACATACATTAAACGTAACGAATCTATAAGTAAAATAACAATACAGAACTACATTTTTAATAATATGCATTATAAGAATTGTATTTTTGACTTATTGTTTTATATATTTCTTACTTTGACGTATATATAAGTGTTTCTAAAATTAAAAGAACGTGACTGGATATCGCTGACGGCATCTTGTGGATTTGCTTTTTTTATATGTTTTAATTTTTGTGATGTAAAGGAAATTATTCACAAGTTCTTATTTTTCTAGACACAACGTTTTGTGGTGATGTCTTTTTTCCACGAACTTATAGATATAATAAATTCAGGGATAAAGCGCCGATTTCCTACAAGCAATTTGATTTATTGAGTTGTAACAAAATTTCTATTTAGCTTTGAGTAATATGCAATAATATTTTCAGAATGTATTATGTATATGTAACAGTTATATTATGAAATAATATTTAAATCTGTAGTCCTTAATTCTATTCAAACAACAATAAAGAATTATTATAGTTATGTATATAGTATATATAGATATACATCTACGTACATATGTAAAATGATAAACAGAAAAATACCGTCTAGAAATCTACTGTATGGAAAATGGAGGTTTCAAAATTGAGATATGAAATCATAGAATTGAAGTATTTAGTTGTACTACGTCTACTAACGATAATACAAGCATTAAAAATAAGAACCTATTGAAGTGAAAATACATACCTATATGTATAAGTGTTGCTATAATACATTGTAATATCGAATACATTACTGTTACCGGTTTTGCGACAAGTATCTGATCACATAAATTCATACGATTGTCTTTATATATAAGCGATGTATTAAAGAAATAAAAACTTGTATTGACAAGTACTAATACAAAGCGAAGTAGCATTGTGTATGATTTACCGTGATATAGTGCGAAAGGGGAAGGAATATTTTTTATTATATTTCGTTTCTAATTAGTCTATTTCAAGTATACGTAGGTATAACAACAAATAAATATTACGAACTAATAATCAAATTAACGAAAAATGGCCATGTGGTTTGTAATTAATATGTGGTTGAAGTGGGAGCGAGAGATATACTGCAGCTCTATACTAAAACGTGTAT